CTCCTAATATGACTAAATATTCAACTAACCTTTGTAATACAGTCCATCTAGAAGTCATATGAGCCAGTAATGGAATTCATGTAGGTATTAATGATCAAGGTGTACAAACATAAATAAGCAAAGGGGACACACTACCAATTACCATGGACTTACATGCTTCAAAATTCAATTACAGTCACCCCAAGAACCAAATGACTAACTTAACTATTCCCAAACTTCTTTCATCTTAGAATCTAATTGAGTGGATTATAGTTTCCATGTGTGTACACTTTTCTATTAGTTATGATAACTAAATATTCCACATGGGATTGAGGTGCCGTTAAGCAACAAGAAAAAAGGAAGAAAAACCATTGATAGCCTCTAAAATCTTCTATTTGTATAGTTTAAGAAAGCTTCTCTCCTTTTACATGTCTTATCAAGATATTCTTATACCATGTTATAATATTAACAAGTTATTATATATTGGCAGATAAAATCACCTTCTGATGGAAATGAGCTGCTGCCAACTTCAACCATGTTCCTTGATTGGTTAATGATGGATGATTATCTATCTTATCAATTTTCTACTAACAAAAGCCCACAGGGGTAACTTTTTGTATCCCGATATAACTGATTTTGTAGCTTCGTACAGTTAAAATATCTCTATAGAAATTATATGTTTTGTTAAAGCATATGCATCAATGTAACATACTTTTGCAGCAAGTCTCAAGTGCGGATAAAAGAGGTCAGTTTATATACATGTCCACTGCAGAATATTTTCTAAGAAAACTGCAGAAGATATCTTATATGATATATCGCTAGGCCGTTACCTAGAAATTTGTATGAAATAATTAAAGACATATGCATCAATGTAACATACTTTTGCAGCAAGTCTCAAGTGCGGATAAAAGAGGTCAGTTTATATACATGTCCACTGCAGAATATTTTCTAAGAAAACTGCAGAAGATATCTTATATGATATATCGCTAGGCCGTTACCTAGAAATTTGTATGAAATAATTAAAGA